CCCGGGCCAGAGGAGTTCCCGCTCGGGGCCGGTGAGGTGGGGTGAGGTAAGGTGAGGTGACATGAGGTGATGTGAGGTGAGGTAAGGTGAGGTAAGATGAGGTGAGATGAGGTGAGGTGAGGCAGGGTGAGGTGAGGTGAGGTGAGGTGACGCCAGGTAAGGTAAGGTAGGGTGAGATGAGGTGAGGTGAGGTGAAGTGAGGTGAGGTAAGGTAAGGTAAGGTAAGGTAAGGTAAGGTAAGGTAAGGTAAGGTAAGGTAAGGTGAGGTGAGGCGCAGGTGAGCCCATCTGGCGTGCGGTCGGCAGGCCTCGCCGCTCCGGGCCGTTATGCGCAGGAGCCACGTGCCGGCCCCGCTCTGGCTCGGATGGCTCATGGTCGTCACCGACAGCCGCCCCGGCCCATCCAGGCTGACACATGTCAACTGAGGCGCTCGGCTCGAGTGGACCCAGACCGAAAAATGACCGCGTCATTCTTGTTCAGGTTTCGCCTGTGCCGCTGGTGGAGATCCATATCGACCATTCACATGACAGGCGGGGATGCACGCAGGTTTCTCGTTGCGGGAAGGCAGGACACAACTCAAAGTTTGCACCCAGTTCAGCGCGCCGCACACGCGCCAAATTTGTCGCATGAGGTAAAACACCATCGCGTGTTCTCAATTAAATTATTTTTAAGGGTCTTAACCGAAATTTTGAGCGTGGACATCTATCCGCACACATGTTAATGCATATTAATGCGCACAGAAGTTGTTAAGTGCATTTGCGAGGAACATTATGCGCATAGATGAGACAGTAGTAATAGCTTTGTTCCTCGGAGAAAAACCGGGAGTGAATTCACTTTTGCTATTCGTTTCGATAAATGCATGTTGCCAAAATATCAACGCATCTATATCTCCATTCTCCTGGGTTTTCTCCGGGGAAAAGGGCTATTACTACTGTCTTATCTTAATGCGCGCGTATCAATGCAACTTGGGGGAGGGGACACGTGCCCTTTGAGCCACCCCGTGCACACGCTACCGAGAGCAGGCCAGTGAACTCGGAGCCGCGGCAGCAGCAGAGGCTGGCGGCGGCGGCGCGCTGCAGCCCTGCAGACCGGTACACCGGCCGACCAGCGGGCCGCCGGAGCGTGGCGCACCGCTACCTGCGTACCGCTCACAGTGCGGCGAGTGGCGAAGTCCGGCACACGCCCGGCCTGAGCCGAGGACGTGCTCGAGACATGTGATCACTTCACACGCTTGAACGATCTGAGCATTTGGCGGCTCGCGCAGGCGCGCGTACAACTATCTCGGAAGCACGTCTCTATACAGGGCGGCTCTGGTAGTGGTAGCATATGGCTCGCGTTGTACCGACGTGGCAGACGACTTCGTCCCCGTGCAGTGGCGCGTCCAGGCCTATATCCACACGGGTGCGTGCCCGAATCGGGATGCTTTGGTGAGACGCTGGTCGAGTGCCGCCATGACGCTGGGAAGACTGGGAAAGGACCTTACGGTATAGCAGCAGGAATGTTTCTAAATGCACCGCGAAGGTTTTGTGCACATCACGCCGAGCTGGAACAACACAACCGAATCGAAATTAATTACCAAGGCGGACCCGGCGAAGGAGGAGGCGACCATGGAAGCCAGAAACCGAACGTGTTGAACAAAATTTCAGTTTAACAAAGAAAACCCACCTCCGTACTTCGGTGCTTAAAGCCATCGCTTCCTGATAAAACCAAGGTACCTCGAAATCCAGGACCGACACTATGGCCGCCGGTCCTCCGGGGCTCCTTCCCTGAGCACGCCCCTGGCACGGGCCGCACTCGGCCCCAGTCGCGGCGGAGGCAGAGGCGGCCGCAGCGGCGGCGGAGGCCCGGTTCCGGCCCCGTTCCGCCGCCGCGCGGTCAACGGAGCCCACCCGCAGGTCGCGGCTTCTGAGCCAGGAGTGAGCCGCCCCCAAACCGCTCGGCGTCGGCGGTCGGGGCTCGTGACGGCGCCGGCGTGCCGTGACCCAGCTGGTGACTCGTGACGGCCCGCCGGGTCGTGACCCAGCTCGTGACTCGGGGCAGAGGACGTGCGCCTCTGGAGCGGTCAAGGGCTCGGGGCGGCGCGGTGTCGTGCGCCGCGCCATCGCCGATGCCGGCGGCCGCTTCCTAACGTTTGAACACAGACGTCCGTGGTGTGGCGGGGGGGGGGGGGGGGAGGAAGGGGAGGGGAGCTTTTAGTGCTCTTTGGGGAACGCCACCCCGTGCCGCGACCCCGACGCTCAGCTGAAGTGTAAACAGAGTACGGGATGGGGGTCAGCACGAGCCGACCCCTCGCTGGGAAGGTGGCCTAAACATAGCGGCGAATTCTTCGCGAAGCTGTATGCAACAGGGCTACGTTACGCAGCATGTTCTGCTCTCCCAAACGCGGTGTTTGCAGCGTGGACCAACATACCGACCGTGTGACCCAATGTAAACAACTGCACAGGTCAGGCATGTTTTTCCTCCAGCTTGTTGCAGACACCCTCGGAGAGAGAGCTGAGAATGTATTTACAGTCCCACATGGAAACGCGAAGACATCTCACTCCTCGCGTTTCAAGAAAAAGCGATTTGCACAAGAAAAACGGCTAAGTTCGCAATCGGTCCTGTTTTATATCACCGTAGTCGTTGCGGGATCGTGCAAAACTCGGACTGGAGTGTTACACATCATGTGGAGTAAAAGCAGAACGGAAATATTGATGTGAGCATCAAGCATTTCATCAACTAGTCACGCCGTAAGTGCGCGCAAACACTGATTTGCGGTATAGACGTCTGTACACTGGACCCAATATCAAAGCAGCAAACTTTCCTCTCATCCCATGTCTCCCCCCCCCCCTTCCGCTCCCCAACCCCCGCCCCCGCTCCAACCCGAAACTGGGTTCGAGCCCCCAGAGGTGTGGCGACCAGGGCGCCTGCTCTAGTCCTGACCGTGCAGTCCCCGCCGCCGACCCCCCCCCCCCTCCCCCTGCGGACGGGGCGGGGCGCCTGCTGCCGTTCCCCCTCCGCCGCCACAGCGAGAGCCGCCGCACACGTGCCGCGCACGCCCGCCTGTCAAGGTGAGGGGGCGGGGAGGGGACGCGCCGCGGCCGTCTGGCTCCAGTCTGGGCCCGCCGCCTGAGTCACCGGGCGTCGGGGAGGGCGGCACGACGGCCGGCTCTGGGGTCGGGCGGCGGCCCCACGTGGTCAGCGACAGGCTCAGCGCAGGCGCCGCGGCACGGCGCACGTGACGGCGCGCCCCGCCTCCACACCCCACGGCGCCACAGCCAGAGACCGGGCTCACATTCGTGCCACTGCCGACCTGATGATGGAAAGGGGGCATCAGAGCCCAAGGAGACCTGCCGGAAAACAGCATCCCCGAAGATCCGTGGAGAACAGCCCACGCTCAATGCAAAAAATTATGGACAGGTCCAGCGAATACACGCTCCGTGGCACGGCTTCAGTCCAAATCCTCAAAGCGTAATCTCCGAGCGGTCACCACATTTACCCTTGCGGTAGATGTTCCAACAAAATCATGGTCAACAAAGCTTTACCTTTCGAGCGTGCAGCCACCCCTGGACGTGCCGGTGCAGCGACGGGGGCGGATTGCGCAAATGCACCGAGGTGTTGCACAAAGTGCAAATGTCGTTCACACCAGCGGGTCGCCTGTTCATAGCGAGCATTCACCAACCTCTGTTGCTCGGTATATTCCGAGATTCAACTTGCCTTCAAATTGCACCGATGAACACAGCCACATTTCAAAAAGCCAGTTTGCATAAAACACATCGCCATTTTTGTCATTTCACCAAATGCTTAAGTGAAAAAGGTGAAAAGCTTCAATGAAATGAAAAAGGCTCGGTGGATAGCCTTGAATGCCTTAGTTGTCCCCAAATGAAACAAAAACAAATGTATCGCGAGTTCAATTTCGTAATTAACTGCTTTTCAACGTATTCCTGACAAGACCGCATCATTCTTGGCGTCGTTGCCACACTGAATAGCAAAAGCTAGCAGATTGGAATAAGATCAAACGGAC